TCACTGTGGACTCAAACAATGATGGATCTGGACCAAACTTGGCACGGATATTTTTTTAAAAGAACTTTATTTATACTCTGCCACCAGCTCCCCAAAGGGAACTCGGAGTGGCATATATGAGGCCAAGCCCAGCGATACATTACGGCAACATAAAATATAAACAACAAAATAACACCACAATAAAATAAATAAAGCAATCAAGTAAAATAAACAGTACAAAATAACATAATGGAGAATAAATCACAGTGGGCGGGCCAAATGCACGACATAAAATGAGATAGCAATGAAAAGGTACATTTATTTATTTATTTGGGGTTCTTTTACCCTGCCCTTCTCACCCCGAAGGGGACTCAGGGCGGCTTACAAAAGCAAGGCACAATTTGATGCCTGCATCATAAAACAATCAAACACAAAATTACATCAAAACACAGTTAACACCAAATATACATTATAACCATAAAATCAATAAAATCAATAAAAACCAAATACAAACCCAGTTTCTCCTCTTACATGGTCAGCGTTCGCTACTCATAGATCTAGTTTTACATTTGTGGGGGACGAGCTCGTAGGGGACTGAACAGTGGAATTAGACTTTCAATAAGGTGGGGGAAAGTACAATATTCAATATACCCAAATGTGAACCCCCATGACCAACAGGAAAACACGGTGTTTTCTGATGGTCTTTGGCAACCCCCCCCCCCACATGACGGTCCTGGTCCCCAGGTTGAGAAACGCTGATCAAGACCAGTTGTTGTCTACTTGTGGGTCCCCAGATGTTTTGACCTTCAACTCCCAGAAATCCTAACAGCTGGTAAACTGTTTTGGGAGTTGTAAGCCAAACACCTGGGGACCCACAGGTTGAGAACCTCTGATCTAGACCAACATATTACAACATGATAACTAATGGTGGGCTTCCTGGGTCTCCAACAATGGTTTTTCCCATTCCTTTCCATATGAGTCCATTTTAACTCTCCGAAGCAAGGAATGAACCTCGCTTTTCATGCATGGGTTGTATATGCTTTAGCACTGATTAAAGAACTTTCCCAAAGGGAAGAGCAGTGAACAAAAAGAAAGAGGAGAGTGATTGATTTCAGCATACCTCTAACAGGCATTTAATTAGACGATTGGAAAGGAGCTGGACAGAGGCTGCGAGATAAAGGGTCCAAATGGTAGGGAGCAGCCAAGGGAACAAAGGTACCTCTTTCATTCCTCATCCTTCATTTGGAAACCTTTGGCGACCTGAGAAGCTTTTAGCTGATTTCTCCAGTACGGCACTGACTCCTGACCGCTGCCATGCATGCGCAAACTGACAAATTTACTTCTTGAGTCACAGACACAACGTCATGGGGAATTTCATTTCATGAATTGCACTAATGCGGAGAAGAACAAAAAGTGTCAGGTTGCATTATCCGTCGGCAAGGCACCTTCCTATAGTTCGAGCTCTGACTTCAGCCAACTTGCTCTTGCTCAGGAAATGCTGAGAGTGACAGTTACAGTATGGCACTTTAATGCCATGTTATAAATCATTGTCATCCCTTCCCAATTGCACCTTGCATCCAACGCAGCAGGTTCTTTCTTATTTCTCCATCCCTCTCCTTCACTTCGTCTTGATATTACCTGTGTCATACAAGGCCATTTCTAATCTGCTCACCCTAAGCATGATAAATATTCAGCAGTGTCATATTATCACAAGAAATATTCACTCTTGGATAAACAAGCAAGGCACTCTTGAATACATGCTGGGTTGCATTTCAACCTGCCCATCCCCTCTTCCGCCAGACAGGGTGACAAATTTTAAAAAAGCATTGCACCCATCACAGCCTTCATTTTTGACTGAGGCAAACATGGCCGGGGTCAGAGGCGGCCCTATGTAATTTTCAACGGTAAGCAAACAGTATTTTGGCCCCACCCCCCAACCAATCACTGATATATATTTTCTGTTCGTCATGGGAGTTCTGTGTGCCATATTTGGTTCAATTCCATCATTGGTGGAGTTCAGAATGCTCTTTGATTGTAGGTGAACTATACATCCCAGTAACTACAACTCGCATGCGTCAAGGTCTATTTTCCCCCAAGAGCGCCTCAAGAGCGCCCCTGGGCAAAATCAACTCTACCGCAAAGGCTTACTTTGCGTAATGGGTTGAGCCGCCCCTGGCCGGGGTACATAAGTTCCTGGTGGCAGGTAGATATTAGGCTTGGGCGGTTTCGTTCGTTAATTTCATAATTCGTTATTAATTCGTATTTAAATTAGCTTACGATCCAATATTGAGCCATGCAGGAATAGTGTGAGGAGTAAATTAGATTCGAAACATTTTTTCAATTTATTTCGTAATTATTTCGTAATTATTTCGTAATTATTTCGTAATTATTTCGTAATTATTTCGGCATGTCTGGTGCAAGTTTTATAGTTGTTGTTTGTTTTATCACACCAACAGTCAACAACAGAGGGAGAGGGAAGCTTCAGAAGTTCCCCCTGTCCCATTTGGAGGTTTTTTTAGCATATTGCGCAATCGCGTCCGCCATTAACGAATTGATTCGTAATTTACGAAATTTCGTATATTTCGAAATTTTTAAAAGGAAAATTTCGGAATTATTAAAAAAACAAAATGCAAGGGCCCCCGAAAAACAAAACGAGTTTAGAAACAATTTTTTCCGTGATTACCCAAGCCTTGTAGATATATCTGCTGATGACATATCATTGAGTTTACAATCAAGGCATTTCAAGGTGCAGCCATTGCTCAATGCTATCAAATTCTGGGAGTTGTAGTTTGGTGTGATAGCAGCAGACTTTGGCCAAGAAGAATAAAAACTACATCTCCCATGATCCCTATAAGCCATGGCAAAGTGGTGTCCAACTGCATTCATTCTAAAGCAGTGGTTATCAACCTTCCTAATGCCACAACCTCTTTAATGCAGTTCCTCATGTTGTGGGGGTTTGTGTGTGTGTGTGTATCAGGAGTGACTTAGAATCATAGAATCAAAGAGTTGGAAGAGACCTCATGGGCCATCCAGTCCAACCCCCTGCCAAGAAGCAGGAATATTGCATTCAAATCACCCTGACAGATGGCCATCCAGCCTCTGTTTAAAAGCTTCCAAAGAAGGAGCCTCCACCACACTCCGGGGCAGAGAGTACCACTGCTGAACGGCTCTCACAGTCAGGAAGTTCTTCCTCATGTTCAGATGGAAATCTCCTCTCTTGTAGTTTGAAGCCATTGTTCCGCGTCCTAGTCTCCAGGCTCAATACTCAATTACTATCTATATTAACTCGATAGGGCTGGGCGGTTTCATTCGTTAATTTCGTAATTTGTTATTAATTCGTATTTAAATTAGCTTACGATCCGATATTGAGCCATTTTGGAATAGTGTGAGGAGTAAATTAGATTCGAAACAATTTTTTCAATTTATTTCATAATTATTTTGTTATTGTTTTGAAATTGTTTCAAAATTGTTTCATAATTTTTTCGTAATTATTTTCGCATGCCTGGTGCAAGTTTTATAGTTGTTGTTTGTTTTATCACACCAACAGTCAACAACAGAGGGAGAGGGAAGCTTCAGAAGTTCCCCCTGTCCCATTTGGAGGTTTTTTCAGCATATTTTTAGCATATTTGGAGGGTTTTTTTAGCATATTGCGCAATCGCGTCCGCCATTAACGAATCCATTCGAAATTTACAAAATTTCATATATTTCAAAATATTTAAAAGGAAAATTTTGGAATTCTTTAAAGAAACGAAACGTGATGGACCCCTTAAAAACTAATCGAGTTTAGAAACAAATTTTTCCATGGTTACCCAGCCCTATAGCTCTATAGATAGTAACTCAGTTACTATCTATATTAAAACAATATAGCTCAATACGCAATTACTATCTATATTAACTCAATATAGCTCAATAGTCTTAATATCTCACTATTCTTAATATCTTAATATTGCTCAATTGTTTTTGCAATGGTTTTTCCAAAGCTACCTGCCTGACCATCAGCACGTCTGAAGTCTTTCCTCTAAACTGAAGGAGGCAGGGGAGATTCCAAAATGGAGATCTCAAACCCAGGAGAAGGGGCGGGCTCTAAACCCAAAGAGCTGCTCTCTAGGCCAATAGTTGCAAAGAGGCCTGCAGGCAGGCTTTCCAGCCTCTGAAACTGTTAACTTTCAGGGCTCTTGCAGAGCTGCAGCAGCCCTGGGAGTAAATGCAAGGGGGAGCAACTTCAAGCAACTGTAAGGTAAGGCAAACCAGTCTCCTGGGAGACGGAACACATACTCTTCCTCTGTTTGTGTTTGCATCTGCCCTCACTTCCCTCCCTCTCTTCCTGCCTATGGAAATAATGTAGTAATATTATATCTACGCAAAGTGCTCCATTTTATGATATCGTGTAGTACTCTTTCTTTCCTTGCCTTTTTAAGGAAGATGAACCGATATTGTATTGTCAAAGGCTTTCATGACTGGAATCACTAGGTTCTTGTGGGTTTTTTCGGTCCAACGAGGGATTGCCTAAGTAAACCAGCTGGTTAATGCTCTCTGAGCATCACATGGAGCCATGGGTAGGAAGCGTTGGACGAGTAACTGTTCCACCTGGAAACCAATGCCCACACTGCGGAAGAAGATGCAGAGCAAGTATAGGGCTCCAGTTACTCGTCCAACGAGGGATTGCCTAAGTAAACCAGCTGGTTAATGCTCTCTGAGCATCACATGGAGCCATGGGTAGGAAGCGTTGGACGAGTAACTGTTCCACCTGGAAACCAATGCCCACACTGCGGAAGAAGATGCAGAGCAAGTATAGGGCTCCAGTTACTCGTCCAACGAGGGATTGCCTAAGTAAACCAGCTGGTTAATGCTCTCTGAGCATCACATGGAGCCATGGGTAGGAAGCGTTGGACGAGTAACTGTTCCACCTGCAAACCAATGCCCACACTGCGGAAGAAGATGCAGAGCAAGTATAGGGCTCCACAGCCACATACGGACCCACAAGGAAACCCATAATGGAAGACCATCTTACTCGTCCAACGAGGGATCACCTAGGTAAACCAGCTGATTAATGCTCTCTGAGCATCACATGGAGCCATGGGTAGGAAGCAACTCATCACAGACTCATTCCAAGTGGTGAAGAAGAGGAAAAGAGGGAGTAAAGAAGGAAAGGAATGCCAAACCCCAACCCACGACACAGCCCAGGCAGAATCTTCCTTGCAAGATGCTGCACAGCCAGACCAAGTGGAGTTACTGAAGCATTTTGACCTCAGCTGGGAATATGGTCCTTGCACAAGAATCACCCGTTGGCAGCGCTGGGAGAGAGCAGAGTTGTTGGGTCTCCATCCCCCTGCCACCGTGAAGGAACTACTGCTGAAGTACAGTAAGGATCCCCTTGTCCAACAGACCGCACTACCTCTGAGGATGCTTGCCATAGATGCAGGTGAAACGTCAGGAGAAATGCCTCTAGAACATGGCCATATAGCCCAAAAAAACCCACAAGAACTAGTGAACCGATATTGATTATGCACAAATATTCATGAATAAATCTTCTATCTTATGAGAAGGCTAAGTTTGATTACTTTTTTTTGCTGCTCAACCTCTGCCTAGCACATTAGTTACTTTGCTTGGAAATTCCACTACAGACTCACATTGCTCAATACGTTATTCCTTACCCTTTAGCGAAAGGGCTTCCCAAGCAGTTGATAAATCAAGAAAAACAAGACAGCCTCTGCCCTTTACATTGTCCCTGGAAATGGGACCTGTCTTTAATGTGCTTATTTATTGTTTCCATTTTGAAAGACAGGCACCAACTACTCTTTGTGGATCTTCTCAATATCGAACACTTCCATCTTTCCCCCCATAATCCACTTTATTATTTCCAAAGTCATATCTTTCCCTTTTCCTTCTCTGTGTTACTGTTGATAATAAGGGACTGTTTAACAATCTTGTTATTAACTATTATATTATGGGAGAACATCTCTGGTTTCCAAGAATTTTGTCCTTTTTGTTATGCTTTGATAACACTCTGTAGTATCAAAAAGCCTTAATCCTAGGATTACTCTGCAGATAAGCGATTTCTTTAGCTGGAGTTTTTAGCTTGCCTTTAATGTTAGACTTACTCTGTTCATGAAGCAGAAAATGCCTTTAGTTGCTGCAGAGATCTATAGATTGGGTGTGTAGTGCTTTTTAAGGAGGGAAAAATCCAATAGCTTGGCAATTTATATTTTTCTGGAAACGTCGCATCAGAGCTATGACCAACCATCTTTGCAAACCCTCTTCTTTCAAGATGGTCAGGCAATTTCACCGCGGAAGAACATTCAAATTCACTTTAAACAGTGCCGGAATGAAATATTTATTTGTGGATGTAATTAGATACAGATGTTTGAAAAGCTCAGGAAAGTTGACTTCTGGAGCAAACCTACCTGATCTGGATTAATCTGTAGATTTGAATATGATCCAGTTCAGAATCCACATCTCCACAAAGTTCCTAGCTTACCTTTCAGTTTAAGTTCAATTATACTTCAGAGAAAGACGTTGAAATATACAATGTTAATCACAACCTAAAGGAGCAATAATAAAAATAAAACTTCAAACAATAATAAACAACAGTGTATTGTCGAAGGCTTTCATGGCTGGAATCACTGGGTTGTTGTAGGTTTTTTCGGGCTGTATGGCCATATTCTAGAGACGTTCTCTCCTGACGTTTCGCCTGCATCTATGGCAAGCATCCTCATAGGTAGTGAGGTCTGTTGGAAACTAGGAAAATGGGTTTATATATCTGTGGAATGACCAGGGTGGGACAAAGGACTTTTGTCTGCTGGAGCTGGTTGTGAATGTTTCAACTGACCACCTTGATTAGCATTTGATAGCCTGGAAGTGCCTGGAGATATCTTTTGTTGAGAGGTGATTAGATGCCCCTGATTGTTTTCCCTCTGCAGTTTTGCTGTTTTAATTTTAGAGTTTTTTTAATACTGGTAGCCAGATTTTGTTCATTTTCATGGTTTCCTCCTTTCTGTTGAAATTGTCCACATGTTTGTGGATTTCAATGATTTCTCTGTGTAATCTGACATGGTGGTTGTGAGAGCGGTCCAGCATTTCTGTGTTCTCAAATAAAATGCTGTGTCCAGGTTGGTTCATCAGGTGCTCTGCTATGGCTGACTTCTCTGGTGTTGGCTCACTCATCGAATGCCTGTCTCCATAACCAAGTCTTCACCTGCTTCCTGAATGTCAGGATAGAAGGGGTGGTTCTGATCTCCAGTGGGAGAGAGTTCCAGAGTTGAGGGGCCAACACCGAGAAGGCCCTGTCCCTCGTCCCCACCAGAAGCGCTTGCTAGGCCGGTGGGACCAAGAGCAGGGCCTCTCCAGACAATCTTAATAATCTTGATGGTTCATAGGGGAGAATACGTTCGGAGAGGTAAACAGGGCCGGAGTTGTTTAGGGCTTTATAGGTTAACACCAGCACTTTGAATTGTGCTCGGAAGCTAATTGCCAGCCAGTGGAGCTGGTGTGCTCCCTGTACCCAGCACCCGTTAGTAGTCTGGCTGCCGAGCGTTGGACTAACTGCAGCTTCCAAGCAGAGAAGCCAATTTGGGTTCAGTCCACACAGAGAAGCCTTTCATGCAGGACATAATACCAAGAGCTCCTGTAGAAAGCTTCATCTTCTACGGCTTGGCCGGGGAGATATACAGCCCACGGCTTGGCCGAGGATCATACAGCCTTACAGTTCCTTTGCTGAAGGACTTCAGTCAGCCATCACTGAAACCTGAATTCTTTTTCCCCTGGATGTCTACAAAACTCTGCTTGGTAAGGGTCACCCGCGGAAGCCAGAAGCAGTTGGTACCAGGTGCAGGGGCTCCACACCAACAGAGGCAAAGACAGACTGCCCAGATTAGAAGTTAAGGATTTTCCCATTAGTTAGTATACAGTTATGAAGATAGTGCCTGTTCCCTGTGGACAAGATTGAGAGAGAGCCAATAGACTGTTAAGAAAGCCTTAAAGTACCTGTTTGTTTTCATTAATAAAGAACTTTGTTGAACCTTTAAGCAATCTAAAGACTGTTTTAAAGAAAATCCAAGGGCCTTTAATCTGAGGCAGCCCCAGCATCCCGTTGGGCACACAGAATTTATGTCCTGTCGACAATCTTATGCACAGGCCCAGCGTGCGACAGCACAGGAAAGATGTAAACTTCCACATAGAATCATAGACTCCTTGAGTTGGAAGAGAACCTCATGGGCCATCCAGTCCAACCCCTTGCCAAGAAGCAGGAAATTACATTCAAAGCACCCCCAACAGATGGTCATCCAGTCTCTGTATTGTCGAAGGCTTTCATGGCCAGAATCACTGGGTTGTTGTAGGTTTTTTTGGGCTATATGGCCATGGTCTAGAGGCATTCTCTCCTGATGTTTCGCCTGAATCTATGGCAAGCATCCTCAGAGGTAGTGAGGTCTGTTGGAAACTAGGAAAAGGGGTTTATATATCTGTGGAATGACCAGGGTGGGACAAAAAACTCTTGTCTGCTGGAGCTAGGTGTGAATGTTTCAACTGACCACCGTGATTAGCATATAATGGCCTGACAGTGCCTGGAGAAAACTTTTGTTGAGAGGTGATTAAATGTCCTTGTTTGTTTCCTGAACTCCAGCTGAAATATCTTCAAGCCTCGGCTGGTAGGTCTACTCGATACCCAGATGCATTTGGAATCGGTAGTAGTACCCATACCGATGAGGCACAGATAGAAAGCAGCCTGGGAGAGGTTAAAAAGGGTTTTTCCTACAGAGAAAGTTTAGTTAATCAAAGTCAGGTGCCAGTCCATTGAGGACTAGACTAAGAAAACCTTGTAGTGTTGTTTGAACCATTGAAGATTTGTTGTTTGTATCATTAAAGACTCTAAAGACCATAACTTCAGAAAAATCCCTGAGAACCTCTCTTTGGGGCCCCCTGGCTTCCCACTGGGCTTAAAGTATACGTCCTATTGAAAAGATTACAGGCCCAGCGGGTGACAGAACAACTATTGAGCCAGGCATTGTCCCCCATTCTGTATCTTTGCATTTCATATTTTTCTGCCTAAGTGGGGTATCTTGCATTTACCCCTGTTGAACTTCATTTTCTTAGTTTTGGCCCATCTCATCAGAAAAACACATTTCATCAGAAAAAAAATCTCATTGGAATAATGGTATGTTTTTCAGTTATTGCTGCTGTTGTTTTCAAGAATTATAATGCACCTCCCATTCTGATGCATCTGTATGGATGAACACATATACATGTATACACTAAATGTATTATCATGCTTAACTTCCACATTAGATGTGTTTAGAGTGGTATTATGGGTTCCATTCTTGGTCACCTTCAAGGAACCGTAATGACGCTCTCAGTGTATGCATTCTTATTTGAATGAGGAAATTGTAATTGTATGATATTGTATGATCTGTATTTTAATGTATTTTGTATTAATGTATTATGATGCTATTATGTTTACTATATTTGTGTTGAATTTTCTGCTGTTAGCCGGCCTGAGTCCCTGTTCGGAGGTCGAGAAACCGGGTTATAAAAGCTCTAAATACATAAATAATAAATTAAACAGGCTCACATCTGCTTAGCCCTTTTATGGGATAGCATGGGAGAATACCAGGGAACACAAGATAGGGAAAAATCCCAACTAAAACCCAGAAGACCATCTGCCAGTCAGAGTTTATGGCAGTTGGCTGGAGGTATGATTAGATTTCATATAAGACAGCTTGCTATGTTTTTAAATAAAGTTTAACACCATTTTTGTGGTATGTGTGTAGGGAGGATGATTCACCAGCCAGAAATTGGCCTGGCTCTGCTTGGCACCAATTTATCAGCAATCTAATTCATTATTACTGTGTTTTTACTACCTGGAATGGTGAGAGCAGTATGTGGGATTCTCATTATTATCTGCCAAAATACCTTGGCTAGCTTTGAATAAAAATGCACCCTGACTTGGGTGGATTGGGAGCACCATTTGCTGTTATGCTGCAGGCAGCAAATTTCCTAGGCCATTCCCGGCTAAAAATCAACAGCAGCAATGGAATCCTTTTTTGCT